AAAGGTGCTCCTGGCTCACTCATTTACATGTATTGGTCTTGTCCCGCTTTAGCTCAATTCTGGACATCATTTTTCCAAACTACGTCAGAGATACTTCACCACCAATTTCAGCCAAACCCTTTGACCGCTATCTTTGGCATATCTCCAGATTCGGACCTGCCAAAAGCAAAACTCAATGTCCTGGCCTTTATGTCTTTGCTGGCCCGGCGAGCAATTTTACTTAAGTGGAGAGACCCTATCCCGCCGTCCTTCTCGCACTGGATCAGAGATACAATGACCTGTTTGAATCTAGAGAAAATACGTTACACTACCCAGGGAACGGAAAGCAATAGTAGTTTGGGGGGGCAAGCAGTAGTTTGGGGTGTGTTACTGCATCCTATATACCAACATAACTCTTAAATGCAACTCGGCTTCCTTTAGAGTTCGCAGGAAGGACTGCCCTTATCTGTAAAGATGTGTTTATTGTTGACCTTGACCTTTTATTATTCAGAATGTGACTTCTAGGTACAGCTGTGGTTGTTTGTCATCTGGATTAGGCTTGTCTCATGTTTGGATGTTTTGTGACATGTATGAGTGTTTTTGTTAAGTGTGGGTGGGGGGAAGAAAAGAAAATATTTCCCTGTACAGTAAAAGCTATTTTCTGTTATTATCTTTCAATAAAAAGACCTTTGAAAGAAAGAACTAAGTTGACACGTTTAGACTGCTAAATGTAAACATTCTTGATATGTCAAAAGTGTGTTTTTCTGAATAATTACTATTTTAGAGTTTATTTTCACATGATAAAAAGGTTTGTCTCACAGTAAATCATTTCTGATGATTGAACTTAAGTGTTGTTCAGTCAGCATGATTAATTAGTGTTATTGTACCACTTAAAAAATGTAGCTGTACCTACCATGTCAAAATAAGTTATCCATAATCATATTATACAAGTTAATGTGACCCAAGACAATTGAGTCAGATCCTTCCTTAGTAAATATGTTGAAACAACTTTTACAAATTAAGTTGAACCCAAACAATGCAAATAAGTAGTGGTAACGGTAATACTTTATGTTCACTCAACATATTTACAATTAGTTGGTTCAACAAAATTGTGTCTCACTAAATTAAAGCATTTTAATTACCGTAGGTGGAAATTCTTTCCATAGTTTTATTACGTTCACCCAACAAATGATTTCTTTGAGTAACATACTTAAATAACTCAAAATGAAGATGATCGTTGCAGTTTGAACTTTAACCCCATCGTCGATAAAGCTAAAAAAAAATCAATATGTGGCTTCTGAGAGATCTGGCTTTAAGAGAAATAACTTTATTAACAAAAGCAGAAGGTATCTTCAGATTGACATACGCTGCTTTTGCCCTGAATGTTGATCCGTCTGTGTGTAAGTCTATTGATAGGATGCTTTTTAAATTTGTTTGGAAAAACAAAACTCACTATATCAGAAATTCTGGAATAATGAACAACATTAACTCTGGAGGTCTGAACCTTTTGGACTTTACAACTTTAAACTACACCTTTAAAATCAACTGGATCAGAAAATCTCTATGCAACCCTGATTCAATCTGGAACTTTATCCCAAACTACATTTTTTCTAAACTTGGTGGTCTATCTTTTGTGCTCAAATGTAACTATAAAAAAATACAAACTAAATTAGCCAAGTTCCACAAACAAATGCTCTTAGCTTGGTCACTCATTTATAAAGACGGTTTCTCTCCACACAAATACCTCATTTGGAACAATTGTGATATCTTGTTCAAGAACAAAACTTTATTTTTTCAAAATTGGTTTGTTAATGATATAATTTTTGTAAAACAGTTATTTAATTCAGAAGGGCTTTTGATGAATTATTCTGAGTTCCTGTCTACCTATCATATCCCTGTTACCCTAAGAGAATTTGTTATTGTAATGGTGCGATTCCCAAAGGTGTAATAATGTTGTTCAAAAGTTATACTGATCTTTGTGTGTCCCCTTGCTCATTTTCATTGAATGAAACCATGGTAGGAAAATGTGTTTCTTATCTAGTCCTTCAACCAGGAACAAGAAGGTCAGATCACTGTTCCAGAAAGACATTGCCACTGTTCCATATGTGATCCACTACTGGAGAAGATTTCTCCCAAATATCCAATGGGAAAAAGTTTGGACCTCCAGATACTTGATCAGAAACAAACCTCGTGATGTCTGTTTTAAATTGATTCATCGGTGCTATCCCACAAAACATTATTTACAAAGATTGAAAAAAGACATTGACGTTAGCTGCTCTTTTTGTGGACTTGTTAGCGAAACACCAAGACACCTGTTTTGGAGCTGTCCCTCAACTGTTGTTTTTTGGAAAAATTTGGTTGGCTATATTTGAAGTACAATTCTTAAAAACTTTAATTTATTATACAAAGATGAGCTTTTTGATTTTTATGATTTCTGTAACTCGGAACTAAAACAGTACCATATTATTAATCTTTTTATCATTTTGGCTAAATTTCATATCCATAAAAGTACATTTGCGAACAGAAAATCTATTTTCAAACATTATTTTATGAGCTGCGGCAGTACCATCCAGCACTCTCAGAGTTTAATTGTGAAAACTGATGACCCTTTCATTTCCACCTTTCCCTGTCATGATTCGATCTTATTTGGTTTTGTATTTCAGCGTTTAGGTTTCCATGTTTTAATTTCTCCTGTTTATCCTAGTGTTGCTTGTTTCCCTTGTGTGTTTTTGTCCTAATGTTTCATAGTTTAGTCTTTAGTGTTTCGTGTGTCATTTTGTAATTTCAAATCCTTGTGTCCCTCTCTGTTCTAGTGTGTCTTAATGTTTAATAGTGTTTCAGTGGTTCATGTATTTATGTAGTTGTGTTTCCCTCCAGTGTTGATTACCCTCATTGTCTTCACCTGTGTCTGATTACCCCATGTCTATTTAGTCTCTGTGTTTCTTGCCCTCTGTGTCAGTTCATTGTAGTTATGTAGAATGTTAGTTGTCAGTCATGTGGTGGCGTGGTGACGGCCTAAGTGAGGTCGAAATAGATCGTAAGTTATGTCCATAACTATGGATCTATGAGACCGAACGATGACCGTCACCATCTCTTGTCGCTCAGAGCTGACTGAGGCGTTCCAGGCTAGAGGAAGTGGTGACTGCCCCGGATGCTTATATGCTTCAGGGCTATCCCCCTAAGGTCAGTCACATGACTTTGTTGTTATTTTGGTCTCGAAGATAAGTAGAAGGATGGCTTCATTCACGGTAAAGACCGTGGTGACGGTCATCGTTCGGTCTCATAGATCCATAGTTATGGACATAACTTACGTTATCCATAGTTAGGTAGGTAGCTGACATGACTGACAGATGGGCGCAGTTTATCATAAGGCTTAAAACCCGCCTCAGCTCCAGCTCTCAGCCTGTTGTTATGTTGACTGAAAGAGTGGCCCTTTCCGGAAAGTCTCAGTTCAGTGTGTACTTTTCAGTAGGGGGTTTACAGTAGACTGAACCCTTGTGGTCATTCAGAAGGCATTTTTTGGGTCCACCTTGGTATACTGAACATTTCAGCATGGATCTAAACTTGCGGGATTTGTGCAGTATGGTTTGAATGCATCCTTTCAGGAAATAAATTGTATTGTAACACCCACAATGCTGTGCGAAATTAAACGTAAATCGTCCGCCTCGAAATCAAAACAAACTTTTTTTTTTTTTAAGTTTTTTTTTATTAAACATTTCTTAAACATTTCTTGTAAATGTAAAAAAAACAAATACAAAATATGGTTACATCCTGTACAGAATTGCCAAGGGAAACAGCTGTCATGTCAATAATTAACAGTACATCATTTGAACATATAGAAATGAAATGACAATGTCTTAAAGTGCAGTGAATGAGGTCTGGACTGAATATAAGAAAAAAAAAAAAAAAAGATAAACAATTAATCAAATATACAAGGGTATATCAGTTTTCAGTTTCTATTTCATTGGGAAAGTTTCTTCAAAATTTCATAAACTGTTGGTGCTATTTTTCCTTTTACAAATGTTAAAGACTTGAGGTACAATTTAAATTCATTCAAAAAACAGACAAAATTGGGCGATGCCAAAAAAAATCTATTTTTATGTATAAAGAATTTTGCTAGCCAAATCAAAACGAACGTAGCCTTCCACCAGTGTCACCAAATGGGGGCGTGGTCGCTCTGGTGAGCAGGAAGTTATGTTTGACTGTATCTGTATAACATCACACTGTGGCTGTTTCTCCTCCATTTGACACTTGTCACTTTTGTTTACATGAGATTAGTGAAAGGACAGATGTAACCAAACTGGTGCTTGTGTTAACATTGCTAACTGGACAAGAAAGGAAATTGAACATGTGCATTTTTTAATGTAGACTACACTATTCCAAGATCTTTAACACTTAAAAAAAAACTACAACCTCAAAGATTTCACATCCGGTGAGATGAGGCTGCAAAGGGAAATGTGAGAATTGTTTGATGCCAAGCTTAGTTGCATAAATTTCCCCCACGGGAGATCAATAAAGTTTATCTTTATCTTTAGTTGTTATTGCCAAATCGTATAAGCTACAGTTTAAGCCACTCAGCAGGCTAATAGAATATAATGTAGAATTTCAAAATCATTTCCAGGAGTGCAGGCTATAGACCTATTGTGGATTATGATTATTTAAAGATTGAGGTTATAACTTAACATGCATGAGTCTGATATTCTGTCAACTTATTAACACTATAGGCCTATAAAGCAATTTAAGTAAAAATAAGTAAACTCTTATTTGATTCTAAAACCTAAATTGACATTAGGGGTTTATGTGACTCTCATTGTGTCATAAGGAATTAAAAAAGTCTTCTGCAACACAGAAGGATAAAAAACAGGCTTTGAACCCAAGCTTTCAGAGCATAAGTCTATCCGTATGTTTTAAAAAATTCAATTTACCATGAACTGAGCTCTCATTTCCAGTAAACCACGTGACTATGAAACTGATCAAAGGTGAAAGTGTTTTCATCAAGCACTGCAGTAGTCTATAAAAGGAAGAGCATGGTCAGCAGGTGGGTGATATCGAGGAGAGTTGCAATGCTTTAGGGTCGAGTCCTCTGTGGAATTGAAAAGAAAATTCATACATTCAAGATGTCCAGTTAGAAGTCTCTTCTACAAGGTGAGTTTTCTACCTGATATTCTTTTGTATTTTATCCATGACATAAAAGTAGATGGCTAACAGGGTCCGTGTTACTTTTTGTAACTTTGGGCTCAAAAAATAAAATCACAATAACAATAAAAATCATTTGCATTTCCGCAATAGCGGTATATGTTCCTGTAGGAGACACAAGTTCGTGTGATATAAACCTCGTTGTAATACAATCATTGGTTATTAGCATAGGTTATTAGCCATATCGGGAAAAAGAACTACACTACCCACTATCAAAGAGTGTCACAGTGACGTCCCTGATTGGTGGAGCTCACTGTCACCATGGCAATGTTTCCCGCCCCTCAGCGACGTATGCTGCAGATCCGGGCTGTATCCGAATTGCCTAGTACCTACTCAATCTGTCAGTAGACAGTACCTACTATCTGCTGTATTCTGTTAGTACCTACTATTCAGTATGCACACACAGTAGGCAGATATTTGTTCCTACTTCTTCTGATTCATTCAGTAAGGAAGTGACGTCATTTACGTTTCCCGAACCGGCTGCATTCACCCGTTTTTTTTTTTTTTTTTTTTTGTTTAGCTTTATTCAAGAAGAGTAATGCGCATATACAGTCAGGTAAACAAAAAACAATACCACAATGTAAATCAAGTAAGAGGCAGATTAAATAACTAAATAACATACAGTACATAAAGGAAAGTACAAATGAAAGACAGTAATATACAGACACATTTAAATAGTTAAATCATTATCTAAATAGAGGGGGAAAGGCTTTATAATAATGCAGATATTTGTTATATTTTCTGTTGTTAATTTAAAGTAGTGATTTCAGTCGGGATTTTAAATTAAGATTAAAAATTGATTAAATTAATCCACGCTCGTTTGTTTTGATTTGGAGGCAGACGTGAAGTGACAATTTACGTTTAATTTCGCACAGCATTGTGGGTGGTAAAACACAATTCATTTCCTGTAAGCACGCATCCGATCCATACTGCATGAAACCCGGAAGTTAGTATCCATACTGAAATGTTCAGTATACTGAGGAGGACCCAAAAAATGCATACTGAATGACCACGAAAGTTCAGTATACAGTTACACGTCATTTAAAGATGGATAAGCACAGATTTTAACTTTTAGTAGTGAAATGATGCACCTACTGTAAGTAAGGCTTTATGGTTTTTAAACTCTGATAAATGTTGATTACACTTTGGTATTAAAAGTCTTGTCTCATTACTTTCAGTGAGAAGCTGTTTCAGTAATCCTACGCAGGTGTGGGCTGACTGACAGCACAAACACAATGGAGGTAAAGAACCTGTTTGTACATTTTTAAGATACATTAGATCATATTGACATACTTCCCTATAACATAATGAATATGAGATAATGAGCAGATTTTTTCATTACAATATATTGTTTTGTCTTTAAAGGAACCCTTTGATGAAGACTTATGTGTTGAACTTTACTGTGAGGTAGAAGAAACTTCACCTACATCACGTACTGACAGCAAGGATGACTGTCGACAGAGTGATGGAAAAGGTAAAGTTCAGCTTCTTTCAATACAAAGTGAAAACAAAAAGGTCACATTTTCAGTAGCTTTAAGTGAAATTCTAAGTGTTTTTATCAACATCCAATATTTTTAGTAATAATTCTGAATAATGAGGGATTCATGGATAAAGTCAAACCCAAACTTCATATGAAAAGTAAAAATAACTCTGAATGGAATCATTCAATTCGTTGGCTCCTGCAAAAAGAAATTTGTGTTTTTCTCTGTGTAGTGACCCCTGCTGGTAAAGTGGAGGAAGAAAAGGACACAACCACATCAACGCCAGGGGGGCAAGACTCCATCCAGGTTTCTACAGAACCAAAGAATGAACCAATATCTGAGCCTGCCTCAACATCTGAACACAGTGAGTAAAATAAAACATTGTTCTTAGGAAACAAATCATGCAATAAGTCATCAGAATCTTCTCATGATTTTGAAGCACTCACATGAAAACAATATTTTTAGGAATAATTCTGAATAATGAGGGATTCATGGATAAAGTCAAACCCAAACCTTCATATGAAAAGTAAAAATAACTCTGAATGGAATCATTCGATACGTTGGCTCCTGCAAAAAGAAAAAGCACAAGTATTCAAAGACAAAGTGGGTATAATTTCACTATGAAAACCTCAGTTAAAGGCAGGGTGGGTCATTTTCTCCAGATATACTTTTTAAGATTTTGGTAGAAATTGTCTTTAGATGCTGACTGAAATTAAGTTCAGCTTCTTTCAACACAAAGTTCAAACAAAATGCGTAAAATTATAAGTGTTATCATCAACATCAATGTTTTTTTTAACAGTACCATGTCCTTCTGTGGAGACAGTCTGTCATGTAAGCAGCGAGCAAGTTAACCAGCATGTAGTGACCCCTGCTGGTGAAGTGGAGGAAGATATGGACACAATCACATCAACGCCAGGGGGGCAAGACTCCATCCAGGTTTCTACAGAACCAAAGAATGAACCAATATCTGAGCCTGCCTCAACATCTGAACACAGTGAGTAAAATAAAACATTGTTCTTAAGAAACAAATCATGTAATATAAGTCACCCAAATCTTCTCATGATTTTGAAACACTCACTTTGAAAACAATATTTTTTTAGGAATAATTATGATTAATAAGGAAACATGGATGAATTCAAACACAAACTTTAATATGAAACTGAATGAAGTCTGAGGAAAACCTCGGTTAAATCATGCAAAATTCCTCATATCCTAATGTCTATTTTTTTTCTCTCTGTATTACATCACCTTTAAATGTCAATTACTCCAGAAAAGACCAACAGTGTTCAAAAAGATTGGAGGTCTGTACAGCAGATCGGCATGGTGCATTTTTGCTGCACTGTTATCAGACTTCTATCACTCTTTCTTTTTCTCTCTCTTATCATCACCTCTATCTTCTGTGTCTAAAACAAAAATCCTGTCTCTTTTAACTGCAACTCTACTCAGAGATTTAAAATAAATAAATTTATTTTACACTATGACACTATTAATTTTCCATCAGTCCACAGATCCAATGTTTCCCATTCCATAAGGATCACAAAACAACTGTGGTCCACTGTACCATATTATGACTGACAAAGATTTTAGTGGCTGTACAAAGTCAATTAATTAGTTTTTTTTTTAAAGATTTATTTTGCGCTTTTCGTGCCTTTAATGCAGATAGAGGACAGTGGATAGAGTTGGAAACCAGGGAGAGAGAGCAGGGAATGACAGGTGGAGAGGGGCCACGGGTGGAGGCGAACCCGGGCCTGCCGCTCGAGACGAGGGTCTCGATACATGGGACGTGCGCCCTAACCATTGCGCCACCGGTGCGCCCCAATTAATCACAGTTTTTAATAAAGGAAATTACATTTTTACCACTCAAACACAGGAGACGCAATATCAGTCTAAACGAGATACAGCTTTTCTATTTTAAATGTTATAATTAAACAAATTATTCTACATACTTTATCCATTAGTTTGTTGAAAATGTAAATATTTGATTTGGCTTATTTAGCTTTAAGCCAAATGTAGGATGCCACTATGTGCACTGGGCAGTATTATCAGATATTTTAACATATATACATAAATTAATTCTGTAGGTAAATGAACATTGATTGATATGTAGTGAAAATACCAAGGATTGGTTAGAATTAACAAACATGTTCATTTCCAGAGACACAACTGGAGAGCCTATTGGAGGATCTGGGATTGAAGCATCACTTCACGGAGAAGCTCTCCCTGAGCACAATACTTCAGATTGATGAGAAGACCTGCACTGATGAACCTACCAAGTGTTATTCAGACCTGCCAGGGTATTTTCTGAAGAAAATGATGATGGTAAATGTGAAAGCTAGGAATGTAGAATTTACATCTGAATGTGAATCAGCTTGTGATGCTGAATCTGATGAAACAGGGTTTGAAGATTTTGATGATTTTGATGATGGTTCTGACAGTCTGAATTCAAATAACAGGCTCAACCCGCTAGACATAATCACTGCTCTCTTTCTGTGTTCGGATGGTTTTGTACAGCAAGAAATGGCTCTCAAAATGTCCATGTGTCAGTTTTCTGTGCCTCTTCTGCTTCCTAATTGTGACACAAAGCAGTGCTCACTGATGCTCTGGGCCATGAGAGACATAGTTAAAAAGTACAGACCTTTGTCACTTTCAGAATCCAAGGGCTTTATTGAAGACAGAATTGTTGTCTCTAAACTTCCAATGGTTTCTTTTGTGAGACTGGGTGAGTGCTCCTTGTCCAAGTCAGAGACCCTCAATAAGCTTCTGAGCAGTTCCCAGCAGAACCATGACATCTTTGTTCACAGGAACATGACAAATGGTGACTGTCCAAGACGAATATCTAATGGATTGACTGAAATTACCTGGTACCTACCTTGTGGAAACAAAAACATGGATGTTTTTGGTGAGCCGGTAGCTGTAGCTAATCTTCGTGGGGACATTGCTTCATTTGAAACGCAGTTTTCTTTTTTGTGTCACACGTCAGCAGCAGTGTTTGTATTCTTTGACAGTTTGGACTCTGAGTGCAAAATGCTTTCAAACAAACATCACAAGGCCCAGATCTTCTTGGTTGGTAATCGTCAAAGCCAGGAATTCAGTATGGATGCTGTGAAGAAGGTGGCAAAGAAGCTGAATCTGACTAAAAGCAACATCCTTTTGAAGGACAAACAAATGAATGATGCAACCTTTGTCAAAAATCTACACAAAACAGTCAAACATGTTGTGGAGAACACAAACGTGAAGATGCAAATTGAGCAGATGGCTGACATTGCTCATGAATTGGGAGTCTTGGTTGATGAAGATTGTCCAGAGTGCCAGACTGCAAAGACAAATGCAGATGCCATCACTGGAAAAATTCAAGATATCCCAAAATACAAAGATGCTCATCTGCCCCTGCATGGCGAAATATGGAAGAAACTGACTTGCTTGGAGAAGGAAGAGTTTCGACTTCGTAATGTTGGGTCTAAAAACATAGAAATGTACAAAAGTGATCTTCAGAGAGAAAAAGAAAACATCAGGGAAGAGCAGAACTCGTATGATATGTCTGAAGCAATGACATGTTTCATCAGCGCAATATCAAGACCAGGTATTGAGAGGAGTTATTTCCTAAAATGGATGCGAATGAACCTTGATAATCTGTCTAGACAGAAACTGTCTGGACTCAGAGAGGCATACAAAAAAAAAAAAAAAAAGTTCTGAAAACAAGGAGGAAATCAAAGAAATTGACCGGCAACTTTCTAACAGCTCACTTGGGATTGAACACTTCTTCCGTGAGATGGGTCAGATCTATGAAGCTTCAGTTTCCCTTCCAGAAACAAATCCGTCACGCCAACAGTTCAGACATCTGCCCAGACTATGTGCAGGGTTGTTGCTTGATGGATTTCCCCTTGAGCTTGTAGATGGTGATGCATCTAATATACCTCTCAGATGGGTGACTGATGTTCTGTCTCGGCTCAATGACTTGGTGTCTCCAAAGAGCAAGATAGTGGTAGTCACAGTTCTTGGAGTTCAAAGTACAGGGAAGTCGACTCTCCTAAACACCATGTTTGGAGTTCAGTTTGCAGTCAGCAGTGGTCGGTGCACTCGAGGTGCCTTTATGTTGCTTATCAAAGTAAATGAAAATGTCAAAAAAGAACTCAGCTGTGACTTCATGGTGATCATTGACACTGAGGGGTTAAAGTCACCAGAGCTTGCACAGCTAGACAATAGCTATGAGCATGACAACGAGCTTGCAACACTTGTTGTGGGGTTGAGTGATATCACTATCATCAATATTGCAATGGAGAATTCAACAGAAATGAAGGACATCCTACAGATAGTTGTGCATGCATTTCTCAGGATGAAAGAGGTGGGCAAAAAACCTAGATGTCAGTTTGTTCACCAAAATGTGGCAGATGTTTCTGCCCCTGAGAAGAACTTACGAGAAAGAGAACTGCTCCTAGAACAGTTGAATGAGATGACCCAAGCAGCAGCCAGAATGGAAAAGAAGGAGGAAAACAAGAGCTTCACTGATGTGATGGAGTACAATCCAGCCACTGGAAACTGGTACATCCCAGGACTCTGGAATGGAAGCCCCACAATGGCACCAGTTAATGCAGGGTACAGTGAGGCCGTTTATGAGCTCAAGAAGAATGTAATCCAGATTTTGGGAAAATGTGAGTCTTCTGCTAATGATATCTTGGAGTTTACAGAGTGGATAAGAAGCCTGTGGAATGCTGTCAAGCATGAAAACTTCATCTTCAGCTTCAGAAACAGCCTGGTGGCTGATGCATACATGAGGCTCTGCACAGAATTCAACAAATGGGAATGGGAATTCAAGAAAAAAATGTACTCATGGACAAATGATGCAGAAATAAAGATTTCTAACTTTGGCAGCGTGGAATGTGAAGTGTCTGAAATTGGACAACTTCTCACTGATTTGAAAAGTGACGCATGCTTAGTACTGACTGAATGGGAGACAAAGCTTCTTGAAAATCTAGACAAGTACTTCAAACAAACAGAGGGTCATGTCAATCTTGTTGAAGCATACAGAGAGGACTTTGCTAACAGTGCTAAAAGCCTTCGTCGAGAAATGGAAAGCTCTGTACATAACCAACTCACAGTTGCAACAGATGTCCGAAAGGGAATGACGGAGATTGATAAAATCAAGGTGAACCACACAAAAGAATTAGAAAAGAGAGTAGGTGCATTGATTGAAGAATGCCGCAAGAAAAAAGTGGACATGACAGACCAAAAGCTGGATGAAGAATTTGACAAGATGTGGAATAAAATGGTAAAGGAACAAGTTCTTTACAAACAAGAGACCGTGGATGTCATGGGGAATGTGTCCAAATGCCTGAGAAACAATCTATCACGCAAGGGGAGTCATGCATGTGAATTATTAGATCAAAAAAGACTGCAAGATTGTGGAACGGTGCCTTTCAAAGTCTCATCTGAAGGATTAATCAACTGGGCACGTAAAAAAATGAGCAAGTACTTCAACTGGGAAGACCACGTCATGGTGCTACAACAAATAGCTGACGATATTATATTGGGATGTTCACAGTTTGTGAAAGAAAAAAAGGAAAGAATAAACAAAAACAACTACCACAACACTTTCATCCAGGAGATCCTACACATGATTGATGAGAGTCTGAAAAACCAGAAGAATGTCAAGATTGAGATAGAATTTGAGGTTTCTCTGAAACAGCACATCTGCGCAGTTGCAGCTCGAGATTTTCAGGAAATGCATGAAGATTTCATTCAGCTGAGTGATCCCCACATTTGTCTCAATCGAAACAAAAAGAGGTTCTGTGTAAATTTCAAGGATGAATTCCATGAACGAGATCAGTGCCAAAAGAACGCAAAAGATTTCACAGATGACTGCTTGAGGCCTGCTGTGGAAAACTTCATCAACAGTTCCTTGGGTCCTGATATCATTGGAGAAATGAAGACCAGATTCCAATTCAGCACTCGAATGTTCTTCCAGTACTCAGTGTTACTGGATTTGCTTACAAAGGAAAAGTTTGAAGACTACAAGAGCTTTATCTGCTCATATGAGTGGTATGTTAAGAAATGGATCCTTGATGAAATGGTGAAAGTCTTGACAAATGAGTCTTTATCTGAGTTTGAGGACCGACATCTTGGGTCAAGAATCAAGAGCATAAATGATGCAATACGGAAAGCTCAAGCAAAAGAGGGAGGCAACCTGCAGGAATTGATCAAAGATATCCGTCAGGAACTTCGTGAAAAACTGGTCATTTCCAAGGATGCTCTTGGTCCTTTTAGGATCCTGAACAATGTCAAACACAAAGAGTTTGCTCAATGGCTCACCGTCTGTGTGAAGGAAATGGAAGAAAATATTAAAGAGCAGTTAAAAAAGACAAACATCAAAACAAAACTTGCAAATCTTGATGTAAAGCCTGAGAATGAGCTTTTCAAAAGTGTCATCGGATGTGGCAAACAGTGTCCATTCTGCAAAGCGCCCTGTGAGGCAGGAGGAATCAATCATAAGGAGCACACAACTTCACTGCATCGACCAGAGGGTCTGGGCAGATACACATGGGACCGGTCACAAAAACTTGTTATTGACATATGCACTTCCTTGGTGAGCAGTGACTGTAGCTTTCGCTGCGATGCAACAAAAGGTGAATGGCACCCTTACAAGGAGTACACCACAATTTATCCTGACTGGCGAATTGCTCCAGATCAAAGCCTTAAGGATTCAGACTACTGGAAGTACGTACTGAAAACGTTCAACAAGGAGTTCTCTGAAGCATACAAGGCAAAGCCTGCCGATATTCCAGATACTTGGAAACTTATCACACCACAGATTGCACAAGAGAGTCTCAAAAGTTCTTTTAACGTGAAATGAGACACTAACAACAGGTGCACATCCTCCTTTCATGGATTGTTTGAGCTCAGATTGAGTCTAATATGTGAAAGAGGAAAATCACAATCAGCTCAATAGATATTATCACCAGAGAGACATTTTACAACTAAGGCTCTCAATATGGAAATAACACAAAAATCATTGCATTAGTGCTTTTACTAGTAGGCCTACTAGTGCATTAGCAGAGGTTGAATCCAACATGTTGATGAACATGAATCTTTTCTTTAACTCTCTTTTTGTTGATCACGACTGTTTTTGGATCAGTGCAAATGTAAGCACACATTATGATCAAGCCGCACATTTACAGGCATGTGGTATTCTTTAAATAAGACACAGTATTCATTTTCTTTTGATTCTTTGTCTACTTAGTTTAGAGCAGTTTTTGGTTTTATTGTGAAGTTTCTAATGCAAAACTATTGAATTTAAATTAACGATCATTCTCTTAAAAGCAGCATGCATACAACCATTTACAGAATGTTCTCTTCATCTCCTCTTAATGAATATGCTTAAAATATTTTTCATATATATTTTGATATTGTCATCATGTAAGGCAGAAATTCAATCAACACAAATACTTCTTGTTTGTATGTTTCTAGAACATTGTTGCCTGAGCTTTTATATCAATATTCTCAGACATTTACGTTTCCTGTTTGTTGGTGAAGTTTCTGATTCCTGACATTATTATTTTGAAGACATTTAAAGATGAGTACTGCTGCATGGTGTGTTGTCAACATGTATACATAACTGATTTCTGTAAAATCATTGAATAAAGATACTAATCAGCACGTTGATGTCTTCTAATGTTTTCTAGATAAGAATGACAGCAGAGTGTAAAATAACTGATAAAGTAACCAGACAAATCATCATGTCACCTAGTACTAGTTTTACTGAAGTAACTGTTTTAGAAAATGAATCATGACATTTTTCTTCATCTCAAGTCTTTGGTTTTCTGTAACAAATCACCCCTCAGCTTTGAGATCATTAACTTACATTATGAGTCCTTTTCCTACACCTTTCATTAGTTAGCTCAACAACACTGTCTTATATCAGTTCTCCTAACTTCAGAGGAGTTTCCATTCATTGTCCTCCCAGGTCAGGTTTTTTTTAAGGAAATTATATTATTCTTTGTCAAAAATAAGAATGTAATTAATTTGTTCATTCAGTAAAAAATGAAGAAAAACCGATAAACAAATCAATTTATTTATATATATATATATATATATAGTTTTGTGCTTAGAATTAAATGTACATGTTTTCTTCTCACAACCAGTTCCTCAGAGTAGAAAGACCACAGTTTATGGCGCCCTCTAGTGTCAGATTATAAAAAAAGGCAAGGATAAAGATGAGAATAAGTTCAATACCTTGTTTCTGATCTCATCGTCAGTCTAATTGTTGACATGTTTTGAGTACAGAAGGCCTTTAATGAGCTAAACTAGATTGAAAGATTAGCAGATTTTTAAATTTTTTATTTATGCTCATCCTCTCTAGTGGTTTTTAATTTCAACATTTAAAGCGGTGAGGATTAACACCTTTCCTTATACTTTATATCTCATCTTTTCCCCAGAATGTTTCCCTCTAAAACCACATCAGATCACTCCCATTTCAAATGTGTTTCTGCACGCTCAAATAGAAGCATCAAAGCAGTTTTTCATTAATGCAGCCTTCCCCTCATAAAGAGACTATCTGTATGCCATCAATTTGCTCAATCCAGAAACAATGAAGCTTGACATAAGAATTTTTTTTAAACAAATAAAAGGAGAATGAAACAGGTAGCCATATTTACAAGTTCTATCAAGTCCGCAAAGATATTTTTTCAAGCATTGCTGGACGGCTGAAAAGAGCGGACATGTGAAAAGATTCTAAACATGTATCTTTATTTATATATCACCAATTCATAACAAATGTTATCTCCAGACACTTTAAAAGAGCAGGTAAAATACCTTACTCTTTATTATATTATCTACAAACCAACATTAATCCATCATGAGCAAAGCATAACGCTACATTTAGAAAAGTTACAGAGGCAAGAGGAAATGTCCTTTAAGAGACAGAAACCTTGAGCAGAACCAAACTCATGATGATCAGCTGTCTGCCAGAACTGTGTTTGGCTTGGAAAGTGGGATTAGAGGAACGTGCAGAAAGAAAGAGACGTCTTCAGCAGCAGGACATCCCCACCAACGATCCAGAAGAACCTTCGAGACAAGAGAACGCAGGAGCTCCCGGGATATAAATGGTTAGTAACTTACATAGTACATTGAGATTTACACACAGTGATATGCAGAAATATGATTGAGAGAGAGAGAGAGAGAGAGACAGAGAGAGAGAGAGAGAGAGAAAGAGAGAGAGAGAGAGGGGAGCTCAATGTCAGTCTAAGCCTATAGCAGCATAACTAGGAGCTGGTCCACACCTGAGTCAGCCTGAGCCCTAACTATACACTTTATGAAAAAGGACATTTTAAAGTCTGTTCATAGAAGAACAGAGGGACTCTGCCCCACTGACTCTGACTGGAAGACTGAAAGGAGAGCGGCGTGATAACTGATCTTCTGATTAGGGGTATTCTTTAAAAAAAAAATTCGGGTTAATATATATGTGGGGCGGCGTCGGTTTTGTGGTTAATTTGTAACAAATGTTTCATGTCATGTACGTCTTTGTAACCTGCTACTGGATGCTTTGAATTTCCCTCGGGATCAATAAAGTATCTATCTATCTACCTCCCATACTACATTTAGTGACTATAGGTAAACACGAGCAGGCCTGCATTCTGGGAGTGTAATGCACCCGTTGAAACATGAATCTGTATTGACATTGGGTCATATATGTAGAAATGTGAAATACATTTTGAAGTTGGTGCCTTCTTGGCTGAGAAAAGGCAGAAAGTGTCTTTTTGGCTCATGTGGATGAAAGACACCAAATCCCAGAATGCACAGCAGGCCACTCCCACTAAGGTCCTCTCGTTCAGAATGAGAAATACTTTATTAATCCAGAGGGAAATTTGATCGTTACAGTTTCTCCAAAATATACAGTATAGCAGTAGAAATATAGAAATAAAAACATTTACAGACATATTTACTTCAACACATACGGCCGTTTCCTCAACTGATTCAGAGATTTCTTCCAGAATTGATCTTGTAAATTCCGAACAGAAAACAGACTCTATGTCTGTGTCCATAGGCAAACAGTGAGAGAACCGACACTACCACCGGCGGCCAGCAATATAGCCGTGAAATGGTTGCTGCCGTTAGGCTGGTCTTGTGTCGCAACGGCCCGGGCGGCCAGCGAAATATATATTTATATTTTTCCGCCATTATCAGCTTTCTCCATAGAGCCTGTTAGCATAGCTTCCAAGCAATATGGCGGATGTTAAGTTTCGATTCTGGGAGTGAGTTCCACCCACTGATCTGTGATTGGTCTGTAGCTTCAGTGGTCGAAAATATGAGGAACTAGCGTTGTAGTTTCACCCCGCTAACCACAACAGCTTCCAGTGACGCAAAAATCGTCATCTTGCGTCACTGGAAGCTCCTTTTCAGACTTAGAAATACAGAACTTTCCAGTCTCAGGGGGAAATGAGGGAGGGATGCACGACCATTCAAAAATACTAAAAGGTTTCTAATGATACAAAGATTAATGCAAATGGGTGAAGTATCCCTTTAAGATCTTTGTAAGTGAGAGGAAGGATTTTAAATTCTATTCTAGATTTTATACACATTCTTCTGTTTACTGATTTAATAAAGAGACAGAATCAGTAGACTGGCTATGAATGTCTTTAATGTTTCCCAGATCAGAATCACAGCATACAGTGTATAATAACTTCTAAAGTAAAGAGAAATATCATCACCTCATTTATTTATATAGTTTTACTATACTTTTTTTAATAATCATCTTTTTTAAAATTCCATTATTTAACATTTTTCTTCATCTCTCTTGGGTTTCTGCGTTCAACAAAGAATGTAAAAACAAGACAACAGGTGCAACTTTTCAATGGAGACCAAGCTGAAGATTATAGTGAGTAAAGTGGATACACAAGTTTGTTATTGTTTGGGGTTATCATATACCACGTGCTTGTAAGCACAACTGACTTCAGACTGGATCTTTAAATCAAATTATGGACATGGGTTCATTTTCTTTATATCTGACATGTGAAAACAAATTAAATGAAAATCTGGCCACCTCTGTGTGAACCAGCGGGCTGTAGTGAGTCTCTCTATAGCACAGACAAAGTGTGCGACCACATAGCTACACACAGTCTGAGCCACTGTTTAACAAACACGCTCCGAGTCTGACAGGATTTTCAGATTTCCTTAATATCAGACCTAAACTGTTCACTGCTACATGACATCACGTGAAGGCCAACAAAACCTCCATAACCACAATGCAACACAGTGTGGAAGGAAATACATCACACCACCAGTGTGATCTCATACGAGGAGTTGAGGCATCTTATGGTATCAAAGCCCTCATGTCTGTCTCACGTGTGATCAAGTGGCTACATGTAAGGGGAGCTAATATTTACATGGCTGCACTTTTGAATAGTGTCTCAGGACACTGCCATTAAATCAGTTAGATACCCAAAGCTGGTTTTTATCAAGGCTCTAAGCCTAAGTTGATGTTGCCATTAACACTCTTAAAGGGGACATATTGTAAAAAATCCACTTCTACAGTGTTTCTGAACATATATTTGTGTAACCTGAGTGTCTACTGACCCACAACATGTGAAATAAACCCATCCAGTCCTTTGTTTGTGGTCTGCATAAGTCTTACAAAACAGAGAAAAATGCTCTGTTTCAAATGTGCTCTCCTTGTGATGTCACAGTGGGATTCTGGTAAAAAGAAATCCCCTCCCCTCCCCTGATATCTCCACCCATGGACTCCACCCCCAGCCTAGAACAAAACTTTTTCACAGGTCGGCCATTTTTATTCTCGCTACAGAGGAGTGATGTCTACAGGGAAAACTCAGGGGGGGTCATTGCATTTAAAGAGACACACACACCTAAACGGAGCGTTCTGAGAGAGCTGGTTTATACAGGGTCACAAACCTCCTCTGGTGCTTGATTCATGTTATATTTTATATTTTGACATGTTATAGTATAGTTGGATCAGGTAAAACACTGTGGAAACTAGCAAATGCTAACTGCATCTGATAAGGGGAGATGAATGTGCTACAGTGACCTTCCTGGTTAAATGGTGCTACAGAATGCTCATGTATAAATGGACACGAGAACAAGATCAAATCATTTGTTCATGTCATGGCAAGTTTTGAAAGGTAAGCAGTTTTTCCTCACCATTGAATTTAAATCCTCAAGCAAATGGTCATCACTTTGGCAAACTGCACCTGTTGTCTGTTGTTGTCACAAAAAGCATTTCATTCATTCACTCAAAAAAGAAAAAAAAGAAAAACAAACAAGAAACTTAATATTTACAAATATTTTGTCTGTTTGATTCTTACACTTAAAAATGTACAGTTTTGATCCTCCTCCAGATGTTGTGTATCTGTCTCTTTTCAGCCACCCAGTTTGGTATTTTTTCTTCTCATATCCAGTTCCCCAAGAGTGTGAAGACTGCAGCGAATCTGTCACACACCGGCTCCCTCTAGTGATAGTTTATAAAATAGACGAGGAAAAATACCAGCCCAAACTGAATACCTTGTTTCTTACCTCCAGTGGTGTGGTTGTGGCTGAGTTGTTGTGAGGTTTCTTCACAGTCCCTCATTGCCTCCTGATGCACAGGCGTGAGTACAAAAGGGTTCACATGGATCTGATCAGATCCTCTGAACAGACCAGCAAGGTATCCTCCTGGCAAACATTGTGGGTATAAAGACGACCATGCCTTTGAATGTCCTTATTTGTCCTCTCTTTTGATTTCAACATTTAAGGCTGTGAGTCTTTCCCCAGTCTCCTCCCAGAGTCTGTTTTCCACAGCGTGCCCCTTCCCTTGCACTACCGTCCATCATCTGTTCCATCCACCTGTAGCACACCCAAGTCAGTCTTTTTGTGTTCTACATTGTGCACATTTCACTTTGAGAGGTCGTACAAAACCTCTGACAGGAGCAGCCAGGTATACATCTCCCTTTCCAACCCTCCCCCTCCACCCTGTTAGGCAGTAATAAAATAGAAAACAAACAAACAGGCTAAAGCGAGAGCACAAGCAAAGACAGCACCGGTGACTAACTTCTCCCAGACTGGGCGTCAGCTACTATGTGTTCCTGTGGGCTCAAACAACAGCACATCAGTTCAGTTAACACAATGTATCAGGTTTTACCCATGACCCACGTTTTTAGATCCATAGTGGGGAATCAGAGGGGGACATAACTGAGCTGTAGGCCTGCACATTTATGAGCAGAATCAGTAACAGCAGTTGCTGCTGTGTTGCTTTTACCCTGTTAAGGAAATCCAAGTCCCCTTTTTCATTTTGCAGCCCTGCGCTGCAAGCCGTGAAGGTCCACAGGTTACCCTCGGTGTGCTTAGAGTTTCATTTACAACTGAGGAGCTCACAAAAAGCTACTAGCTTAGTGAGCTAACCCATGAATGTGAGGATAAAAGTAAAGCCCAACTGAGGTCAGAAATTGTGTAGAGCAGTGCTGACACTGTGAAATCAGGTGTTCTGTGGTTTTGTGGGGGAGCAAGGGCGGTATGGGTGATCAGCACTATATGGGTGTCACCTTTAATACAAAGTAAGTGTACTGATGGAGGGGGAAAAGAGAGTGAGTGAGTGATGTTGTAACAGTGGAGGGTGCTTGGATACAGAGCTCTTTTTGGAGTCTAAGTTTTTACCATGAATGTGATCGTACCTGTCTGCCTCTCTATCTCTTTGCTTTCTAATTAGGGTGGGTCTACACACATGCACACACATTTACACACATTCTCTCACACGCACACAACATATACTTGGGCTGGAAATAGGGGTGCAGACAGGAGGAGGAAGGTGTGTGTAAAAGAGCAGGGGCTGCCAGTCTCTGCTTTGTTCGTCAGCATCACTGAAATACAAAAATAATTCTGAACAGGCGGGCTACAACATCAGATTTGGTTCCTCACATACCCTAAAAAACAATCATCTCTAATGCAGATGCAAAAGAAAGTGTTTACTGTAGGATGAAGGGCTTCCTGTTGGCGTGCTGCATTCCCTGATGGGAGAAAAAACGGCTTACAAACAGGAAGGAGAAAATGAATAGAGGAGTGTGTTCACAGTTGTTGTTTTGACCCCAACGTCTTTTGAGATTCTGGCAATGACTTTTTTTTTTGAACAAATGGGTGTAGAGACGAGGATTTGTTTGGTTATTACAGTAATTTTTGTGTGGCGTTATTGTCCAGTGTGACATAAAACAAAAAACAAAACATCCAGACTGGACCGATGTGATTTGATTAGATTTGGGAAACGTGCATTGACAGATACAGTGTCCTTTCCCCCATCATCACCTTTAAAAATAATTCATGCATAGATCCCCACTGAGAAAAACCCATTTATATACTTTCTCCTTTGTACACATTTATATATAACTATATATAATATCATTTCTCTATATCTATATTTTCAGCAAAAAAAATCTTTCCACAAGAAAACAACAATTAAACAAATGCCTGAAAAGATAAACAGAAGATGAAAAACTGAAAACACAATCGAGGGCCAGTTTGGCACTTTGTCATGAGAACACACAGCATCTGTAAATTGAGAGTAAATAGGGACACTGTAGAATCTTCTCTAGGTTGTTTTCTCCGTCAATGAGAAAGCAAACACAGTAGTACATACTTGGCACCAAGAATGCTGGTCAGTGTTTTCATAGGTATATGATAACTGTATGCACCCTATGTACCCAGAAGGCCTTCTACAGCTCGGTAGTTTATAATTCCTCAGAGCAAAGGGAGAGAGTCACATGTCAGATGAGAGCAACAAAGCCGAGATAAGACACAGATGTAGAAAAGAGAAGGATATATGCACATAACAGACAAAGGGGTGAAAAAAGAGAAGACGGCAAAGTAAAAAAGGGAAAACAGCAAGAGGCGAATAGCATCCGTCCCTTTGACAAATGTTAGAGGGCTTTAGTCTGGAAGCCGCAGACCTTTGAAAAAAGTATCTTTGAAAGATCTAAATCAGCCCCAAACGGATCATGTGCTGTCGTGCAGTCCAGTTCACTTCTCCACACACCACCGGTGGAGCTGCTAAGTTTGACAGCACATGATGAAGGAAGTGGAGTTCTTTTTGGAGAAACAAAAGAAGAGTACAGAAAAAAAAGGCCCACCTCCAGAGGCCTCACTTCTAGATCAGAGCCAGTTCTCCTGGTCCTTAGGTGGCACTGTGTTGGACCAGTCCCTACTATACCCTGGTGGTCGAGTGGGGGTGGGGCAGGGTGTTGTTGTGGCCGGTGGAAGGGAATGTGTTGAAGGCATGGAGGGGTTGCATGCTGGTGATGGTGCTGGGGATCATGGTGATGGTGTTAGGTGTCATCAGTGGTACATCATCCGGGGCACGGCGCAAAGCCAGGGTGTAGTCAGGCGGGCAGGCGGGCGGAGCGGCTCCATGTCGTGGTGGGCGTCGTGCTCCGAGTGCTTCATCTGCAGGGACATGATCTCCTCCTCCTGACTGTGCGCCAGGTCATTGGCAGGGCCGCCTCGTGTGGGAGACAGCCTGTGACGTCGCATCTCATGTCGCTTGTCACGCTTGTAGTAAAGTGCGGCAAAGGCCAAAATGTTGAGGAAGAGGAGCGATGCCCCAACAGCGACCGTCACACTCAGCTCAGTGGAGTAGTCCCGGGTGTCTCCTGGGAAGAGGTCCTGGTGCGGACGCTCCGAACCCTCGGGCTCCGGATCGGAGGGGAAGGTGGGGTAAGGGTGACGGGTTGTGCGAGGACCAGGTGTTCTGAGCCAGGGTCTGTGGGTTCCTGGGCCTGGGCCTGACGGGGAGCGGGTAGTGGTGGGGAAGAGCTCCTCATGTAGACTATGGAGGTGGGGAACTAATTCCAGCCAGAAGGCCACCTTGTTGGCCCTGTAGTTGTCTCTAACACGAGGTTTTAAGCCGATGTGGAGGTACTGCTTGTCCTTGGAGTTGAACTTGGTCCAGATGACCTCTTCAAAGCGGTTGGGCTTTGTGTGAATGAACTTGGTGTCCTGAGGGACTGGCAGGTTTGGATCCCTAATGGAGGACAAAGGTTCCATCTTAGTTACAGGTTTTAAATCAAGGGTTCATTCAGGGCTATTCTTAATAACTCAACATCTGGATTGTGAGATCACCTTAACATGGATACATCTCTCTTATTAAGTGGTTCAGACCTCTAGAAGGACAGTTCAGCCCTGTTTCAGGATAGGTAAGGTTAGGTTGTCGACTACTAGTTTTGAAAACACAAATAACAGTCAAAAGTGAGCACAATTTATTTAAAATGGCTAAACACAGTATCACAGCGTCTAAGGGTAAACAATAGGTTAACGTCCGAATGCCTAACCCTAACCCCCTAACCCTTCTTTCGGTCGATATGCCCGTTAAACCTGGAACAGCCAACTTTATTTCCATTTTGCAGATCAAAACCAGACTGCCCTGCTCCTATGAGATGCTGTCTGTTCACTACGCTGGTTTACGTCTGGGTAGTAGAGCCTAATGGCAGCAGACTGGCAGCAGAGCATTTTTAGTTTAAAGGACTAATAACCGGATGGTGCTGAATAGCCAGGGCGCCGACTAAAATCGATAAGGTCACTATTCAAGCACATCCCTGTTTATAATGAATTAAGCACTGTCTGCAGCTGAAGTAGCAGAGCAATATTGAAGAGCAGATATTTGTTCATACTACGATTGGCTGACGTTGTATGTTGAAGCCAAAATGAGGTTTTTATTTGATCTCCGCATGAGACAACAGGTGACATAATGATGTGTAATTCCAACACTGGACACTGGTTGTAGTCTTAGCTCATGCTATGCACTACACCAAGGCTTCAGGTAATTGCAAGCAGGTGTGTATTGACTGTGTCAATGCGTGGTTTTGTAATTCAAGTTTATCCATTTTGTTATATTTTGTACGTCATTAATGTGACATCATTTGAATGGATTCAAAGGCTATGTGCTGATTATATGACGAAAATGTAAATAAATGGATAGACACAGAAATTGGTTTTGTATCTTTGATTGGAACATGTATCTGGAACTTGTTCTCCAGTCCACTTCTTAATGGCTTTTTAGATGAAACTAGTTTTGTTCAACAATAATACGTACAATATTCAACGGTGTGAATAAATATTTCTATATTTCAGAGCAAAACATTCCAACCCACAAATTGAATGTTTTTATAAATATTTCCTTTCTGGAAACAGTTTACATTTTAAAAGGCTCTGTGGGGCTCTGACTTTAATATACCAAAATAAAAAAACAAACCATGAACAAGGCCTACCCAGTCTTGGCAAAGTTGGTCCAGTAAGTCATGACCACGGCGCTCAACATCACGTCATTCTTTGAGAAGTTGCACGGGAACAGGTCAGTGGCACCGATCATGGGCACACCAAACACGTACGGTATCTCGTCTCCATGGGCGGCATCAGCCCACTCAGGGCGTGTCTCGGTCTGACAGTGGTGGTAGAAGGTGTAAAAGTAAACCGGGGACTGAAACTCAGCGTGGAGCTTGGCGGTGGCCACTGCCGGCGCCACCCATTGGTGGTCTGTAAACAGAGCTAAGAGGGTCTTCCTTCGCATGTCCCCATTGTCCCTGTCTGCCCAGTCTGTGTACATGAATTTAATGGTCTCCCTCAGGATGTCTTTGCCTGGAGGATAAAGTGCAGGATGGGGGGGAAGGGACAAGGAAAGTAGCAAAGAGAAAAAAAATACTTAATACGCTGAGAAGAAATTCATGACAGGGATAAAACATTTTGAAATAGAAGGTGGAGGACTTCATGTTGCTATGAGGATCTGGAAGGACAAATACTCAAAACGATAGTAACTTGATAGCACAAGGACCTGGAATAACAATCATGAAGAATGAAAAACATAGCTAAGAGGAAATGGAATGACAGTTCCTCATAGTGAAGACAACAACAACAGAGTGACATTTTCCTTTCCTCATTCTTTGCATAAAAGATGTTTTGAAGACGTTTTAAAAATCATGTCACACCTTGCTCAGGTATCAGGGAACATATTTGGTTGATGATTATATGATGATTATTTAAAAAGAAGTCCCCTATGTTCTCTTTATTTAGATAATTTCCTTTAATTAAATCCAGACGATGTTCATTTCATTATTCCTCTAACAAGCATTGACAATGACACAACGCAGTTCTGTGGTGTGAGAGGTGGTTGATGACATAATAAAGAAGACATTAAAAGCCTGGAGGAGTAAGCTGTTGTCATTTCTCACCCTCAGGGTAGCCATACAGGTTGTCCACAAAGTTAGAGATGGTGTAGTCGAATGCTGCAGCTGAGATGCCGTCGTTGTCCTCGCTGTCATCCACAAACTTCAACCCCTCTCCTTGGTTGACTCCTATTAGGATGTCATAGTTGAGGAACTCCCCCTGGTGGAGAAATAGTGGAAGCACATTTTAAGTGATTAGTTTGCATTAAAAGAGCAGGATTTCAGAATGATGACACACTCTCTTTAAGGTGCTGTAGAATTCCAGCTCAGGTATAAAATCTATTTTTTTCTTGATTCCTGCCATATGTTAACTTCAAAAACATTAGATTTCCTCCAATATAAGCTCATAAATCAAAGATCAATTCTACAATAACAGTGCTGCTAAACCTGTTAGCACGCATGTTGTTTTTAAAGTCTGTGCTGTTAATTATGGCACAACAAAAGCTCCATTTCATGCTTTGTGATGTGGCTTAATTGTTCCCCCTTGAAAAAAAACCAGAAACCTTTTGATGCTAATCTCTGATTATTTCTTACAGATTGTGATTTTTTTTTGCAGAACCAATGGGACAGGCTGGAAAAGAAGTAGCTGTAAAAGTCCTGCGTCTTGTTTTCTCAGCTTCTGTGACACACATAATGTGAGATAGATGAAGCTCTAATGAAACTAGATCTCTTTTTTTCTTTTCAACCTTTCCTTTACTTTGACTTATCACATCACTTTAGGAGAGATTTACATTATTTCACTTCAATTAGAGGTTCTGATGGTGAGTTAACAGATGTGATAGTTTTGTTACAGTCAGGGATAACTGATTTATGTTCATGTTGAATGTGATATGTCTTGTGACTGCAATCTTTAGGCCTCTTTAGATCCCCATTTAGAAGTTCATAGCAGCTTGAAAAAGACTGAATTAAGAGCGATACCTCTTTTTGACCTTGAAAAATAAGCAAACAAGACCATCAGAGATTGTATTGAATCTTGAATAACCACTGCCTGGTGGTGTCAGCGAAGACTGTTTACAACTCACTGAAGAAACAGTCTTTTTCTGCATTTTAAAGGTTAACAGAAAGCAGGGTGAGATTTCTTGTCAGAAATCACTATCGACTGAGATCAGTGGTACTGCCTTGTCCACATGGGGCGCCAAAAACAACAGACTGAAAGTTATTTACAGGATCTTTGAAGGTTAACATGATGGAGGATTAGGGCCATGTTAATTTTTTTTAATTTTTTTAATTTTGAGATTAAACTCGTAAATTTACGAGAATAAAGTCGTAAATTTACGAGAATAAAGTTGTAAATTTATGAGAATAAAGTCATACATTTTCGAGAATAAAGTTGCAAACATGCAACAATGTACATGCTTCTGTTTTTAAAGAAAAGTTAGTTTAAAAATAGCACAAAAATAATATACATCACCTACAGTGCAGCTTTTTCACTTTAAGTGTGAGGGTGTTACCAGTCACTAACAATGCAGAAAGGTCACACTCACACTCTGCTAAAATTTATATATGTTCTCCTCTATCTGCTGCGTTAATATCTCTATTCACTCGACCTCTGCACAGTATGAATCTACTATGAACATGTCTTCACACTAGTGCCAGATGATCACCTGTTGCATGAGGATCTCTGGATCGTCAGGCACCACGTCTCCGTCCACCACAGGTCCAAACGCGATGTGGTAGCGAGCCGGCTGAATGTCCTGGTCCACCAGCTCCCTGAAGTTCTTGCGTCTCAGGCAGTCGACCAGGTCGGCAGTCTCTGTGTAGGTGCAGCCCACCTTTCGGGCAAGGATCTTTGTGTATTTGAGGGGCTGGTAGTTAACAGACCAGCTGGAGATGGCAGTCCCACTCTGGGCTATAGCTCTGTGGAACAGACCTAAAAGGTAAGATTGAAAAGAAAGGATATTTAATTTCATGGTCATAGGTCAAATGCTTTTCACATCCTAAAAAAACCTGCTAAGATGGCTTTTTGCTAAATGTCATGTCACTTGTTTTGCATTCTTGGCTGCCACATATCACTTTCTTTTTATCCACTGTCAGTAAAAAAATATTACAGATTTTGACTTCTTTCATTGAACCATTTTCCCTGATTAAGAAAGCACACACAGGATAGAACTGCAGACACTCAAATGGAGCATGCTATGTGTTTGTAGCTCCAAAAATACACAACAAAAAGAAAGCAGGGCTAAGCTCATCTGAGACGTCCAGAGAGCCATTTTCTTCTGTCTTGTGCTAGCTGCTTCTTCTCTCTGCCGACTCTCTCTTGCTGTGTTTCTTGCTTCCTCTCCTCCACTTTGTCTCTCTCCGTCTCCTTAGCTCTGCCTGTCCTGTGCTATTTGAACCACTCAAGTGGCTCGTTAAGGGGCCGCCTGCCTCACTCGTTTCCTCCTGCGCTCCTTTTTTTCTTTCTCTTCCCTCTCCTGGGCTGCAGATTGGTCAGTTAATTATCAAGCAGAGCTGCAGCCTCACATTATCTCTCTATCTTTATCTTTGGTATTTTTGTGCCATTTCAAGTTGAGTTTGTATGTTGAGTTCCTTTAAGTCTTTTGTTTTGAAAAGTTTACATTATAAAACAGATATCCTTTCCTTCTACTCTATTGTTGTGATTGCATTTAGTACCTGTAATTGTCCTGTACTGGTAAAACACAAAAACATTATCAAGGTTTCAAGATTCAAGCGATCACCATTGGGCAGAACAACAACAACAAAGGTAATAATAAAATAGGATAATATAATAAGAAGGAAAAGCTAAAGAGATCAAGATGCAATAGTTATTTATTAGACAAACATTGACTTTCTATACAAATAAAATGTAAAGCACATTTGGCCACTTATTTACACGTTCAGCTGCTTGAGGGGAGGGGGGGGGTCTACACTATCCTGGAGCTTTGTTATGATGGACCTGAGCTCTGATGATGCACAGTTGTAGATAGAGGCAGTTTAGGAGCAGCTTCTCTCTGTGAAATGTGAGTAAAGTTGAGCTGTGGGTGGTGCCTGCTGATCATCAGCACCAGACTCTGTTTTGTAAGAAGGCCTGTTCATCTTTGAATTCTCTTTTGCATCAATGGCCGTAGTCTCGTCTCTTTCAAGGCGTTCACACTCTAGCTCTTTGATTTTCATTGCAGCAACTTCAGGACCTTGGACAATAATATTATTTTGTATTAGAGGCTTCATATTTTCAAAACTGTTTAGGTAACAGCAACAATACATTTGTATGTTAGACAACTGTTATTCTAAATACTTACATCTTGTGTCCATCACGGTTTCGAGCAGGAAGTCGGGGGTTCTGGTGGTTATAATCAGTAGCTGTAAGCAAGGTCAGTGTTCTGTATACAGGTGTGACCAAACTGCTTCTCTGCATACATGAGGATGTGCTTTTGGAAGTTCTCCAGATCTGAAGTTGTCCTGTTGGGTAGAAAAGGCAGACAGAAAAAAACCTGCTCTGTTAGTGACATACTTCTCACTTCCACTTCATACTGCACCAAATAACATAAAGGTGAGTAGAGTCCTCAGCTTGAAAATCTGCTGGAGACATAGAAAGAGTCACAATAAATTTAGTGTGCCATTTCAAATACATTTTGTAATGGTCCTAAAAAGCATTGATGCATCATGCAGCCATTGTCGATTTGAAAAAAAGTGGAAATGTGTTTGTATGTAAATAATTACAAATACAAGCATTTGCATGACTGGAAGATGATCTGCGAAATATATATTTGTGTGTTTGAGATGTAAGTCAAATTTACCTGGATTACAAGACATCAGCCTCCTCCTCTTCCTCATTCAGTAGCTGAACACCTTGGACAGCAAACACATCATTCCTGAATCAAAAGACAAGTAGAATATTACATCTTACCATTCAATGACAATATTTTTTAGATAACGTTACTCCATGAAAACATACCTGTCGCGGTCTGACTGTAAGACTCTAGCAGGGTTGTAGGTTGCATTTGTTGCTGGAGATGATACTGGTCTTCTTTTTAGAAAGCAGGAATAAAGAAGTCATTATGTTAGTTGATCAAACTGTGCAGAGTATGTACAGTAACATTAGTTTCAACATGAGAAACTTTGGATACGCGCTGCTCAGATGATTAGCAGCTATCGTAACCTGAACCCAGGACAACATGCTGTCTATATTATCATGCTACGGGATAAACTTCTGCACACATGAGCTGTCTTGGCTTTCAACCACCGGCTAATGTGTCGACAACTTTTCTCGCTGTGCTTCAGTCAAAGTCTGCCCAAATAACTCTGACATATAAGGTTAGCATGCGTCACTAACTCATCATCAGGGGACAGTAACGTTATTCTGACATTCTGCTCGTTATATGACATAGACTGAATGGGTTTGTGTTGAAACAACTGATAACTATGATGTAAGTAATAAGACAAGATAAGACAAAGTTTATAACGAGCATAGTACTCTCCAGTTCACCAGCAGCAGTGCTAGCTCGGTATCGGACTTTCAGCCCACTGTTCCCTGAAGCTCTCTCCAACGTGTCTCTCCAGTATTTACTCTAGTCCGGTCTCTTGTTCGCTCACTCTCTCTTTATTCTCTATTTTATTCATAGCTCCATCTGCCAACGTGCTTTTCGTCTTAGCCTGCATCAAGCAGTACAGAGACGGGCTTACTCCTAATATTTACCAGCGGGCGCGCACTGTAGCTGTTCCCACCATAGACTGTAAAAATTACGGTTCCCACACAGACTCTGATAGCAGCTGCTGTGACTGTAATGTTAGAAAACAGCGCCCTCTGCTGGACATACACACACACACACACACACACACACACACACACACACACACACACACACACACACACACACACACACACACACACACACACACACACACACACACACACACACAGTGATAAAGTCATTCAATGGTACAGCACACTGGAGCCCTGCTTATTCTGAAATGAGGATTACATCAAGACAAGACAGAGAATAAATATTTAACTTTAATTAACCGGTCAAATATTCTAACAGAACAACGATGAAGATTACAGATGTACTCATCATCATGTTTCTCTACAGTTTAACTTGTAATACGTTTTTCATTCTTTACACTGTGGACGATATGTTGACAACAGGCAGAAAATATCACGGAGCAACTTCAGAGTGTAAGTTTTATTGGTGTTACAGTTTTAGAGAAGAACAGATCAACAACAACGAGGAGGAAGTATGGAGTTCAACAGGTGGACATCTTTACTCACCTCACTGTTGTTGTCGGGGGCTGCTACAATGAAACTCGATGCCACATTGAAGCCGTCCTCTATTGAGTGTCAGAATCAGCCAGCAGTGATTCTCCAGCTGCAGTGAGACTCGTTTGGCTGAAGGTTCAAGTCCTGACTCCCCACACAGACACACCAACTGTTAAAGGAAGATTTGAACCTCTCATAAACTTCAGATTGAAGGAGTATAACTGAATCATTGTGTTTATTTTATCATAATTTTCAGTGTTTTATTACATGTTTAATCACACTTGACATTTGAAACCCTGTTGCTATGGTGATAATCACACTGTGGTATTTCCTGTTGACGGGACTTTTTACTTTCACTTTCTCCAGTGGTGACACAGTTTTGTTCTCTGTGTTGAAGGCAGAGTCCTGTAAAATGTTATAAGCCTCTGGTTGAAGGTAAGAGACTCTTTTATTGACCGGCCCGTAAAGCAGGGACAGCTGTCCATTGGTTGGTTGAGCTAGGTTGACATAAGACTGGCCCAGTCACATCTCATCGTTGGTAAACTTCAGACGGGCCATCCTGAGCATGGGGACCTTGCGGGCACTGCAGGATTTCAATCCATTACATTGTAGTGTGTTACCAATGGTTTTCTTGGTGACTGTGGTCCTAGCTGCCTTGAGATCATTATAAACCTCCTCCCGTGTAGTTCTGGGCTGATCCCTCACCCTTCTCATGATCATCCTACCCCACGAGATCTTGCATGGAGCTCCAGACAGAGGGCGATTGATGGTTATTTTGAATTTCTTCCATTTTATTATAATTGCACCAACAGTGTCTCCTTCTCACCAAGCTTCTTGCTGATGGTCTTGTAGCCCAGTCCAGCCTTGTGCAGGTCTACAATCTTGTCCCTGATGTCCTTTGAAAGTTCTTTGGTCTTGCCCATGGTGTTGGAGTGGTTGGAAAGGAAGAGATTGATTCTGTTGACATGTGTCTTTTATACTCATAACGAGCAGTTATTGGGAGTACTTTCTTGAAGTGACAGGACTAATCTGAGTGCCACCCGGGCAAATAACCGGTCTGTGGGAGCCAGAATTCGTGTTGGTTTGTAGGGATCAAATACTTATTTATTTCGATCAAATGCAAATGAATTTATAACTTATACAATATTTTTTTTCTTTAAAAAAAATTCTTTAAAAGAAGTGATTCGGACTGAAGAGAAGCGAGCAAGAAGCTGAAGCTCTTTAAAACTTTGACAAAACTAAAAAATCTGGAGATCTGAGCTGAGTGTGAACTCTTATCAGCCCCGGGGGCGAAGGAGGGTCACTCCCATTCTGACCGGAGGACAATTGTTTAAACTAAACCGAGTTTACTCAATAAGATTAAGAATACGAATCTAAACATATATACATCCTCAGTTAATCCCAGCCTGCAGGTGAACAAAAACATGTTATACAGTCAACATTCTTAATAAGACATATTAATAAAGTAGGAAAATAAATTGGTGTCTTTAAATAACACCTTCTATAGCTAATATCAAAGAGTATGCTTTATAACACGTCTAAATGTATAATTATGAAGGTTACGTATTCATGGATATTCTAACACTAGATGGCAATAGCGCTCCACGTCAAATTCCTATTAAACATAATATAACTCTTATTGCTATTCTGAAGATCAGATTTTGAGTTTAAAAATATGATTATAATACATTCAATGTGACAATTACAAATATCTAGATGAAGAAAGACATAAATGTTCATTTGATGCAGAATTGAAAGCTGTGGTTTAATTCAGTTCTTCAGCAGCATTTCCACAGATGGTCAATTTTACGACTTTGGTTTCGTTCATAGTTCATGTCTTTGGGGTCAATTCGCTATCATTAGCTGCTATCTGCTATCCGACGTTATTTTAAGAGGTAACCTGATGTTCTCAAATAATGCAACATCCAAATTTAATGGGAAAACCTCACTTTTATGTAGATTCAGCTCGTAGCCCGATAACTTCTCAAACTGCTGTAATAGATTAAGAGTTGAAGGGATTGTGGTTTCTGCATGAGACATATACAGGAGGAGGTGTTGGGGTTTTGCAGAGCTAATAAGCGGGCAACAATTATGTTGGGTTTTCGATGGGTTAGTAAATCAATATGAATAATTATCCTTAATTAATTATGAATAAAAAATTAACAATATTATTAAACTGAGTTAATAAGAACAGGACACCACCCTAAAATCAGGGATAATTAACCAAAATATCACATAATCAGTATCGAATTAATTAATTAAATACTAATATAATGAATCATTAAAAACCTGTATTTAATAAATTGAAAATCCATACACTAGCCCTGGGACCCAGCTGTATTACAATGCACATACAGCAGTAACTAGGCCTGGGCGATAAAACGATAACGATAATTATCGCGATATAGTTTTCAGTCAATATAAATATTAAAAATGTTCGATAAAAGTTTGATAGATTTAAACCTGTAATTACACTATCCAACCACAGGGAAACAGAAGTCTTGAAAAAGACTTCAAACAGCCAATCATGTCGCGGGGATAGCGGTAGGCGGGCTTACAGACCTCAGGAACGGAAAGGAAACAGCCAAAATTTAGCGATAGCTGCTCTAAAGAAAACGCAGAAACTACTGGCTCAAAGCAGGAGAAAATATCCTCGACAAGACGACAAGAAAGGCCGCTTAACTTCCAGAGTTTAGAGACATTTTGGCTCTTAACAGTCCGACAAAAAACAGTTAACTGTGCCGAAGAGAAGTGCAGCTAAAACGGCGACACCACTTACCTGTTCCCCCATTGGAAACAATATGACCCATTAAAACCCACCGAAGGAAATAAATGTCAAAACGTCATAAACAAGTGTTAGTGTGGACCGTATTGTAAAAACTGTCTATGCATGGTGTGGACCCCAGCGGGCCAGTAAGTGTGACTCCCCAGCAGCAAAGTGTGATATCAGTGTTTCCAGCTCCAAGCTCTGAGGTCATGTTGGTGAAATGTTTCTGTTTCATTATAATTCGTCATGTTCTGACAATAAAGAATAATTATATTATAATTAACCATCTGGTTTCTTCAACTTTCACTCAGGAGCAAAAATCTGCTTTTAAACTTGAAAGAGATAATGATTGACAATTATCGTAATAACTATCGATATATGACATTTTTTATCGTGATAACATTTTTTGTCATATCGCCCAGGTCTACCAGTAACAACAAAAAACTGCTCTTTAAATTATAACAGAGTCAATGCCACATCAATCCAAAATCAATGAAACTCAATCAACAACTATTACAAGCTAATCTAAAGAAAACAAACATTAGGGGCGCTGGTGGAGCAGTGGTTAGAGTAGAGGTGGGCGATATGGGAAAAATATCATATCACGATTTTTTTTGGGCAGACAGACAGACAGACACACACACACAGACACACACACATACAGACAGACAGATACACAGACACACAGACAGACAGACACACACACATACAGACAGACAGATACACAGACACACAGACAGACAGAGAGAGAGACAGACAGATACACACAGACAGACAGATACACAGACAGACACACGGACAGACACACAGACAGATACACAGACAGACAGATACACAGACAGACAGATACACAGACAGACAGACACACGGACAGACAGACAGATACACAGACACACATACACAGACAGACACACAGACAGACAGACACACAGACAGACAGACACACGGACAGACACACAGACAGACAGACAGACAGACAGACAGACAGACGGACCGACAGACACACGGACAGACAGACAGACAGACAGATACACAGACACACACACAGACAGACAGACAGATACACAGACACACACAGACGGACAGACAGACAGACAGACAGACAGACAGACAGACACACGGACAGACAGACAGACAGATACACAGACACACACACACACAGACAGACAGACAGACACACGGACAGACAGATATACAGACACACACACACAGACAGACAGACAGACACACAGACAGACAGACACACGGACAGACAGATACACAGACACACACACACAGACAGACAGACAGACACACAGACACACAGACAGACAGACAGACAGACACAGACAATAAGAGGTAAACAGACTCTACTGATGAAATCGTATCTGAAAATTGCTACTCTTGTCCATGATGCTAACTGTTCAGCTTCAGGGTGGTTTTGGGGGATACTGCAGTGTGTTCATGTCAGGGGGCTGAAAGGAGGGTGTGTTGATGGATCACAGGACAGATTGGAGGGTCCAGTCTAAATACTGGACTGTTTATTTTTTGTCCCAGTCAAGGTCCAAATACGTTGAGTTTAAGATGATTCTGAAAAGTTTAATATGAAGATGTAGTAACTCTTTAATGATCGTTCTTCTCAGAGTGCAGCTCTTCCAGCAGGGGGCGCTCTGCTATGCATCAGTGTGAGGACACAGAGGAGGGAGTCCCTCCCTCTAAAACCTCTCTGTGTGAGGAACATGAAGCTCTGAGGTGAGGATCTCTAACTGTCCATGACTCTTCTCCATGTCACAGCTCAGCACTCACTCCACCTTCATCATCATCAGCATCATCATCACTGTATCATCTGCTGCTCACAGTAACTAATAATGTTGTTTGTTTGTATCAGGATGCAGGAACAGAGACCAGACTCTCCTGGACCCAGCTGTGTGTCCATGAAGAGTGACCGGTCTAAAGATCTTGATCTCAACTTTAAAGATGGACTTCCTGCTGGTGGAAGGTGAGATCTGAAAACTGAAGTTTACTTTCTTTGTTTTAAGACTCATGTCGTGGTCGAGCACTTTGTAGTGTCATCAGTATATAATGGTGGAGGTGGCAGCCCATTGTTCACCTGTACAACAGTCACCTGTCAAAGAATTCAGTGATTGAAGTCAACATGATAAACCATGTCAGTGTGTTTGTGAGTCTTTGACAACATCACATCCAGTAATGAGAGCAGCAGCTGACTTCAGAGACAGAACCTGCTGATCAGAGGTCATCATGTTGGAGAGTTTAGGATTCAAAAGTGAGTGAACAAATGAACTGTGAACATTAAGAACCATCTGATCCCATCCAAAAGGTATCAGCACAGATCAGAATGTATTATCTCGATCAAGTAAAAGTATATTTCAAGTGGTTTCTATTCTGTTGGTGGGTTTCTTTGTGATCATTTAAACTTCTGTTGATCTGCATGAGCTTCACACTAAGCACAGTTTGTCCAGAATGTGAGCCACAGTTTGAATATCTGTGATTAGTGGATTATGGTCCCAGAGGTGGATGTTGGATGCCCTGACTTTATTTGACAGGACAGCTGATGAGAGACGAGAAATGTGGGGAGAAGAGAGTTTGGCATGACATGCAGAAAAGGGTTGTTTCTGGGACTGGAACCAGTGGCTGCTGTGTTGAGGACTTTAGCCTCTGAATATGGGGGACCTTTTTTTATTTATTTTTTGGGCTTTTTGTGCCTTAAATGGAGAGGTAGGACAGTGGATAGAGCTGGAAACCAGGGGGAGAGAGAGTAGGGAATGACATGCGGGACAGTAGCCACAGGCTGGATTCGAACCTGGGCACCCTGCAAAGCCCAGTTGAAACAAAACTCTGTATTTGTGGAGAACAAGGGGCCTGTTGGATCAGCAAGATAAAAACTACTGTGATGGTGCAAGCAGCAATTACTCCCATCTGATGTGGTGTCAGTCTGAAGACTTTGTCCCAGAAGTGAGTTCCAGGCTGAAGTCCCTGAAGTTGTTAAGGACAAGTCCTGAATCTGGATCTGTTCTGTATCCTGATAGTAGTTTAGGGCAGATTGTGGACTTACAGTAAGGTCTGTATTCATGATATTAGTGGACATCTTACTTTACGTTCTGATCCAGTTGTGGGTTTTATTGAGGATTAATTTGATCTGTAATCATTCATTCTTTT